CCCTATTTCCTGGACTTCGTACGTCATTGCTGCCCAGCGCCCTTCTGGCGGAAAAACGTCGGAAGGTGGAATATATACCACCCGCCTCAGCAATGCACTGAGGCGTGACTCTTGCTTCATTTGGCAGTCACTGCTGGATGAAGCTTTAGATTAGTTCCAGGGCCGTCTATGTGTCAAGTCAAACAGCCGTCGAGCGCGCGTTTGCCTGCGGTCCAAGCTGCCCCAAGGCATCTGTCACCTTAAAGGGCAACTCGAAGTCCTGCATCTCAAATGCTGGCTGGACCAGGACGCTTCAAGGACATCACTCTGCCAGGACAAGGCAGCCCTTCCTTGATGGATGTCGCAGCATATTTCGGATCTGTCCCGTAAGTTCTGTAGTTCTGGGAAGTCTCATACCTGTCAGAAACACGGCTGCAAGCCTCGCGATGTGACGGTTGCAGAAGTCAAAATCAGGCAGGTGCAAAGCGCCACTGGATGGCAACGAAGTGATGAGGTATTGGAGATCTCTGCCTCCCTCCTGCAGGTCGACGAAACTCTAGACCTGGACTTCCCCAAAATGTCTGGTTTCCGTAATCTGTGGTGTCGGTCCTCATAACCACTCAGTTGGCATACAGTTGCCTGGCCTTAGCGAGCAATAGACGGAGAGAGGGAGAGCGAGAGCTCTCTTCTGAGGGCAGCACCTGCAGGAGTGGGGCAGGCCGTGTGTTGAGCAACGGGATTGCTGGCGCCAAGACAGAGACTCTCAACGACCCGGCTAGTCACGATTTTTCGGCGATGATTCTTCAGTTCTCTAGTGCGCTTGGGGTTGAAATCACGAGGCAGGAAGCACGGGGCTCTAGCACTAAATTAACACGACAACTATTCTGGCTGGAGCACGCACCACTTTCACCGCGACTAGTCTTCATCATCTGCGGCAAGGACCAGCCACCTTTCTCAGATTCTGTCACAGTGGTATCACGAAGCCCCAGGCGGAGCTGCTGTCTTGAAGTCTTTCGGACACAATACAGACCAATCGGAAAGACAACGCTCCAATAGTGCATGCTTGGACATCTTGTCCCGTCCAGATTCAGCCTGAGACCTCTTCCCTGACAGGGCCTTGTATACAGAATAGGGAAGATGTTGTCGATGTCAGCAAAGCCATCTTGGAAGGCACATGCCTCAGTAAGGGTCATAACAATGCCGCAATGCAGTTGAGAAAGCACGCTCCTGGGGCTCCGACCACCAGCACAAGCTGTAAAGCCGCTGCCATGGCAGCAGCTTGTGTGAAACTGCGGAAGTAAGTCTGTTGTTGAATGTATGTTTCCTGCAACAGCATCCTTCGTCCGACTTAAGGGGTTGAAATTACTTCCGTGCTGGCGGTGTATTGTGCAACCTCATGAGGAGCCGACAGGCCTCTGAGCCTCTGAGCCGCCATTCTTTCAGAAAAGGAAACATCTCAGCTCTCCTTAGATGGAGCCTTCCTCCAAGCCACGGGCCTTTTCCACTGAGAGCAGCTCCGTTTGCGACATCGTGGCGTGACTGTGCGGTCGCGCCGGAAGCAGAAAACAAATGAGCACAGGCATGGCCCATCTCCTGGTGTGGAACCTGCACCTGTAGCAGCCCAGAATACAGTTAAAGATGCACGCAAGCTGCTATACGTGACCACCTTTCGGCCTGGTCTTACATAAGCCGAAGCTGCTTTATCATGGCGCGCGATGCGGCAGGAAGCTTGCTGTGTGACGTGGACAGGCATGAGAAAATTGCGCATCGCACCTGTAGGAGCACCTCGTCTGGACAGAAGCCTCCCAGCATCATGTCGAGGTAGGTGAAGCCAGCGTCTTTGATCTCTTTCACGCCCAAACCTGCGACCAAACAAGGCGAAACCTTCGCCTTCTGAGCTTTTCTCTCTCTTGGTAAGGATTCCATCGAGGGCCAGGAGGGGTCCGAATCTGCTCCGCCTCCAGTTTGAGAATGTTTTTGTCCGGTCCAGACCGGATTAGAGATCTGCAAAGGCGGATCCTGAAACGAAGGCACCCAGAGACGGAACCTTCGTTGTTTGAATCCGGGATTTCGTGCATCGAAACTTCGCCTGCGACCTCCTGACACGGAGTTTTGGCACAGGTGCAGACTGGCAAGCCTTTTCGAATCGCGGGAGGGAAGCGCCGGCATCAGCATCTTGGCATGCCAAAGAACCACAGGCTCCCCAGCAGCAGATAGTTGGGAGGCATGCACGCAAGCTGTTGCACGAGAAACTCCCCTGATCTCGCCTGCTTTGCGAAGCTCGGCCACGCCGGTCCCCATTTCCCGCAGTTCTGCGGGTGTTCGCCCAGCGCGCAGCAGCTCCTGACTACAAAAGTCACAGAATTCAACGGGAGATGGATGACAACACGCTCAGGTAGCTCTAGACGTCAAACAGGGTGCGCACATCAGCACTGGCCCTGGCGAGGTCTGACCGCCGTCGGCTCACCCACAAGGGTTGTGGCACAGGTGGGACAAAAGGTAGGAGACAAGCTGAACGCCTGCTTGAGGCAGCTGTGCCGCTCAACGATGTTGCTGGACACGCAAAGTGTGCCGCACCACATCTGCATACGGCTGCATACGTGCATAAAAAATGCATGTGCAAGAAGAGGCCTCTGCCTCTGTCTGGCCAGGCCGAGCACTTAGGGGCAGTGCATCTATAGTGACATATACGATAATATGACACAGAATCTATGCAAGTGTGACTCAATGGTACCGGAATGCTTGATACCTTTGCTTGGCTTAGTCTCGTCGTCGTTCGAAGGCTCATCTTCTGCAGTCTTTTGCTGTTGCTAGTGTTCGCGCACTCGTGTGAAGGTTGGTCACTGGAGGATGGGCTGCTCTAGACAATTCCCGATGCTCGCAGAAACATGACGTGCACTTGCTGCGATAAAGATGCAGACACAACGAAGCTCTGCAGCAATACTCCTGCGCTGTATAGCCACCTTCTTTCCTGAGCAGATGCTGCCACTGTTTTCAAGTATATACTTCTTCCACACAGCTGTGGCAGGTATGCGAGAAGCGTCAACTCTGAAGAGCTATATCCGCCGGTGAGGAGTTGATGCGCAGGGAACTGCGACTTTCTCATCTGCTCAGCCTTCAAAGAGGATGATCTTGGAACTGACAATTACAAAGCGCCACAAGAAGTCGGACACTGGCGGGAACTCGGCATATCGAGCCTTGAAGCTCAAGAGCCGCAGCTCGTAGGCAGTGAAGCCAAGGTCCTGTACGGTCCCCGCGGCTTGTCGGCTTGCGCATGCCGCATGCATGTTGCGATCTTGAACTACTCTGATCCAACTGGCGCCCTGACCTTCAGCTCTGCAGGGGAATACCCTGCATCCTTCAGTTCAGGCGCAGTACAGCCTGAATTCTGACAGTCACCAGCGGAGCAAAGAGAGAGAGAGAGAGAGCTACAGCTAAAGGCTAAAGGTTTGCCGGTGCCACACAGATATCTACTGTCTGTGCAAATATGGGCCTGAAGCTTGCAGAGCTTTGGCAGAGTATCCCGCTTCTCGCAGTCCTGAGAGCAAGGCCAAAAGCTCACGGAATGCACCCACTCACGCCCGCCCCCGCACACCCACACAGCACGAACACACACAGACACGTGCACACTGGTGCAGATCTCCACTCCAAGTACTGAGTCCTTCTCACCTCAACACACCTGAAACGATACTACCGTACGATGCAGGTACGTCGAGTTGGCGTTTAAAGTGGATATCACAGCCTGCATGCGATCAATTTGCTCGCAATCCTTGGCAAACACGAGATTCTCCCTCACACAGACGCACGTGTGGCCTTTCGTGTCCAGGCCCAGCGCTCGCAGCTCCGAAACGTCGCAGCCCGCGAGTCGCAGGGCGGCAGCGGAGTGGCCGAGCTCGAGGATGGCAGCAGCACTGAATCCTGCCGCCTCACATTCGAAGCTCATCGGAGCGAAGCTCTCGCGCGGCTACAAGCATCCTCAAGTCTTAAATGCTAAGGGCGGGCCTTCAGAAGCTTCACTATCGAGGTGGCATCCTCCAAGTCCGTCCCTGCCGTCTCCTGCAGCCAGGACCACAGTACATGTACGCATTCAGAGACGAATCCTCTTGCAACGCGATGGCCCGAATCGCAACGCCTTCTCCGCAACCGGAAGCATGGAAGTCTGCATTGCTCTTGGCTTGCTGGCTGCGCTGCCAGCTTGCGCTGTCATCTTCTGCTTCTGCTGCTCTTGCTGTTGGTTTCCTCAAGTTCCCACATGTTACTGACAACTTGAAGCGAGTGAGGGTGAAAATGCATGACAATTCGGCTCTCTGGATATCGGCAGCACAGCACAGTCTTGCTCGTTACATAAGACCAACGGATCTCATCAGAAACAGCCAGCCGTGATGCAGCATGAACATCGTATAGCCGGTGTCTTTTTTGCAGTTTTAGCTTTCAAATCCATGCCAGTGCGTGCGCACTGTTGCTTGGACTCTTTAGGCCATTGGCGGGCCATCATTGGCCGCTTAGAAATCGAAGAAACTCATTGGACAGCATCTTGGTTCGCTGTCTATGTTGCGGCAATGCCTGCCATGCTGTGGTGAAAACACAAGCAGTGACACGAGCGACTGGGAGAAGACTTTCCACGGAAGTGGGCGAAGACTTCGACTGCCAATCTGGAAATCATGCCGCAGAATCAACATTGTCGGCGTGCGCAGGAGCTGCAACTTCTGAACATCCGATCTGCTAAGTTGGTCTTCCAGCCCGTGCGTGTCAATGCTCACCCTGGCTTGCCCAACCGCTGCAGCTGCAGCTCTGAAAGAAAGACGTTGACGCCCAGCATCACAGGCTTGTCGAGGGGGGACACATTGTCAGGAGTTCAGTCGGTAGCTGCAGCTGGCAGACCCAAAACTCGGTGGGCTACCAGCTCTAAAAGGTGCTGTTAGCATTTCTCGCCAGCAGCCTCCGCAGGTGAAGTACAAAACGACGCTTCTGTCTTCTGTTGTCTCTGAAGATAGACCGAGAAAGTGATGCTGCAATGACGCTCAGGCTTCGCCGCTCAGAAGACCACCCAGCAAATCCTGGCAGTGGTGACGGTGGACGGCAATGGATTGAGTTTTATCTGCAGAGTTCTGGAGACGAGCTTGAGTCTCACTGGTGCGAGGCATGATGTCTGCTTTGTTGGCAGTGTCAAGAGAATGTCGGCCAGCATGTGCATATTTGCATTCGATCCTTCTGCATCTTCTCACCTTTCTTGTCCAGCAACTTCTGAACCTGCCAAAGCCCCCAAAGCTGCTGAAAGCTCGAGCCGTGGCGTGGGGTGCAGCGGTGAGCAAAGCTGAGCTCTGGGCCTTGCCCTCGGAGATCTTGAAGACGGCAGCCAGGGTGCTTTGAGCCTTATCAGCTTGCTCAGCTCTGGCCGTCATCTCCGCCACCTCAAAGGCGCACTTTCAAGGCTTCCCTGATCTTCGCTGATCTTCGCACAGCTCGAGGCTCGTACGGAGGGCTGTGCGCCAGATGCATCCTGCTAAGTCGAACGACATCCAGCGATAATCTGAATCTGAAGCCTTCTGTGCTGCGAGGACTGCCGCTACTACTCAATGGAAGCACATCGACGTGTTGGCTATTCTGATGTTCCAGGACACCAAAGACGCCTCTCCGCCGGAAAAGGCTTGCATCATTGCTTTCGTCTGCTGCTGCACACCCTCCATGACACCATCCAAGTACCTGCTGACGACTTGCATGCTGCGATGTGCTGCGATTGCGCAGTCGCTCTATATATATATATATATATATATATTGATTGTGCTCGCGAAGGGAATCTGGAGTGACCATAATCCTTGGCAGTGGGGGTGTAAGATTCAAACCCGTTGCAGGGGGAGCAGCGAAGGCAATAATCGTGCCAGGCAAACACATCGAACAGCTGCTCGAGCGTCTTGTATCTCAGCGGGCCATCGTAGACAGGAGTACCTGCGATTCTGTCAGCCCTAATGGCCAAAAGGGCTGTGGCTTCTTACGTTGGAACTCTTCTTAGGCATGTGTCTGTGAGTCTGTATTCATGGATTCCAAAAGGATCGACGGAGAGGATACTTGGCCTCGCATGATTCCCTCTTGTGTTGGATGCTGTGCTCGTTGGATGCTTTGCGTAACTTGTCCTTCTTGTCGAGTGCGCTACGTCTCGTATCCCTGTGCTGGATACTTCGTCCGATGCCCCCTTTGGTTGGGTGAGAAATGTGTGTCTGTTGGGATGCTTCACACGCACTGCTTGATCCCTGTTGCCAGGGCAGACGGCTTCAGTCTACTGGTGAAGCTGCATATGTGATCTTTTGTGTCTCAAGTCTTATACTATCCTGTGCTTTATCCTAGATTGGTTGCAAGTTGCGCCCTCCAGCTACGGGGTCTGCGCTGGTGCAGTCTCTTCAATTAAAAGGCAAGTCGATCGTTCTCCAACGTGCAGTCATTGAGTGCGTCAATGCTTCAGGTTGGATAGCTGTCACGCCGCCTGCCCACGCCTTTGCCAACATGTCCAGTGCTGGTATCTTGACTGTATCTTACTGTGCAGTATGTGTAAACGCCTGTACCTATGCCCAGGTAGGGCAACTCCCTGCTGCACACGCCTGAAATACATCACAAAATCATCGAGTCAAGCGTGCATGCCATGCCAAGCCAGGTGCATGTGTAAGTGGAAGCATGCAGTGCTTCCGGCCTACTTCCACATCCGGCGCGACGCTGCTGGCAAGGCTCTGGGAGCTTTCGCTGAGTAGCACCTGCATTTGGACCCAGAGTGCTCTTGGAAACTCCGTGGGATGCATCGAAGTCGCTTTGGGAGCCAAGCTGAGATCCGCGCAATTTGATCCAATGCTTCCCGCTTCTCCTTGGGATCCTTCGCATATCCGACAGGCTTCTAAATCCAGGGGCTGCGACACATGCAGTGCTTAGTAGTCAGCTTCATGAAACAACCATTCATTAGTCCGAGGGTGTGAAAGCGCAAGGGTTCCTTGATATCAGCAGCCCTCTCGACCAGCTCTCGGATCATGGACTTTGCCACGCTGACCGCGCCCTGGGATTCACAAATCACCGGCTTGCAGCAACCTCACCAAAACTGCGGCATGAGGGAAGGAAACAGAAGCTTATGTGTGATTTTGTGCTTGAAGCAGCCGCCTCTGCCGCAAGCTTCGGCTTGAGCTTCTCAGCCTCAGACTTCACCTGGCGTTGCCACCATCTCACCGAGAGGCAAGGGGAGATCAAGACCATTTCTGTGTGGTCGGTTTGCCAGGATCCAACGTGCAGCCAAGATGCAGCGGCATGTAGCAAAAGCGATCGCGTGGCAACAGGCACCTTATCTCAGGACATGCAGACGGCGTTCTCTCTTCGTGATGTTGTGGGCACTGGCAACGGCATGCCTTCCATGCTAGCTGCAGCTGGATGCAGATGGCATTTTATGGGCTTTTTCTACCTCGTCGCCTGCCACTGATGCAGATGCGAAGCGAATGCAGAGAGGCAGCTCATGCAAAAGCAGAGTTGCAACTTGGTCTCAAATGTTCCGCAATTCCGCAATTAAAATGTTGGACCGCCCCCCGAGCAATCACAACAAAGGCAGTTCCAAGCTATGCGTGCAAGGTCTACATCAAACGCCTTGATTTCATCGGGATGGTAGGGAAGCACTTTTGTTGTCATGTTGCTGTCACTTGTGGTCCGGGACTCGATGCACGAATACAAGATTCGTGTCGAAGAAACATGCTGGCTTTGGCAAGGCCCTGGCATTTCGTGTCCCACAGCACGAAAAATGTGCTAGAAATACCAAAAGCATTTCTCGGTGCTGATCCTACATTGTGCTGCCTACATGCCTGAAACTTGCCACAGTAGCTACTTCACAATGCTCCGCGAGACCAGACACCGCTGTGTTTCCAAGTCTTGTGCTGGTCGGTCTCAGCCGGCATGTGCGCTTTGAGAAAGTCGGGTGTGCATGGAACAGCAGTCTAAGTCACTATAAGTCTTAAACCTTAAAAAGTTGCGCAGGAACAGAGGTCAGTTGTGAGCTCAAAAGACCGAACCAAGGTGTCTCATGTTGCGCTGCCTGTGCTCGAGACTTTTCTGCGCAAGTTCTTTCGAGTCTCATTCAACTGCACCTCTAGCAAGCAACTGTCAATGTTATGGCAGCAGTGCCATGTGCGCAAGGTTTCAAACAGGATCTATGGCAGTCAGGAGTCATGAGGAGTCATGCCCCCGCCCGCCCAAGATCCGCTGGCTCTGTGCAGAATCGAATGAAATCGCAAGGAGGGATGTCGATGTCTGAGTCAAAGTCCAAGAACGTGTTCTTAGTCTTGACGTGAAGAGGAAAGGCCAAGTCCTTGGGAAGTACGGGGTAGACATCAACGGCCTCAGCACAGATCTGGCCATCCGCTCGCAGTACAACCTTGAAGGGATGACTAGACAAGGCTTCCGGTAGCGGAGAACCGCAGTCTTTGTCGTTTGGAACCTGACAATATCGGGCCGTCTTTGTCTCAGCTTTCTTCTCCTCAGGGCAGGGCTGTTCAGTTTTAACGAAGGGACCCCAACATAAAAAGGCGAAAGGGAATTACTGGGAGACCCAGGCCCTTCCTCCCCTAACCCGCCTCCAAGACGGGAGTCGGAGGACTCTGACCCGGGCTCTTCGGGCGTGTCTGGCGTTTGCCCATGAGTCTCTGCAGCACCGGGATCAATGCGTCCATCGGAGCCAAGGGCTCCTTGACACAAGGACCTTGCGGTGCTTCCAACTCCAAACCCATGGGGTCCCAAAGCAGTGGCGTTTCTACCACAAGGGCGGCGGGTGCAGTTGCCAGCGGCTTCTTCGCCTGCTCCCCTTTCGGTCCGCGCAGCTGTGCTTCCCCGTGAGCGTACTTGCACTTGTTCCCACTCTTGCAGGAGCCTTTCCGCATGAAGTCGTGGCAGAGGCTGGTGCGGGTCAGATCTGGCTTGGGCCTGATCTGTGACATGTCGTGGGCAAACTTGCACTCCTTTCCCCTTAAGCACTTGCCCATGGCAAAGAACGAGCACAAAGCCGTGCGTTCGAGGTTGGCTGAGAGCTCCTGCTTGCTGGTGTTGAGGAGGTTCTTCTCCAAACTGATGCGTTTACCCACCATGGCACCAAGATGCTAAGGCCACCTAGCTACCCAAATTCTAAGCTAAACAGTCGAAACAAAAACGGCTAGCCACTGGCCGCAGCTTGTTGCTGGCATGAACTAGTAGCAAGGCGTGGAAGAGCGGCTTGATGCTCTGAGAACCAAGTCCCGTACAGAAGCAGGAACCACCTCAGCCGCTGAGCCACTGGCCGTTGCAGTACAAGCATTGAACTCTCGTTTACCTGTCCTGTCTGTTTCGCTGGCCTTGAGATCTCTGCCTTTCGTTAAAGCCCTGGCCAGGTCACCTTCAGGCCCTCGGTGTCATCGAACACGCCACTTGGTGCATCGACACCTTGGGAAGCGCCAGAAAATCACGCCTAGGCCGCTACTAGTAGGTGCTTTGAGCATGTACCTGTCCGAACTGCCTGGGCACAACAGCACAACGCCGAAACCCTTGTACATGTTACATGACATGATGACCCTACTGGGGACAAACAAACTTGTTAACTACCCAATTCAAAACTTGTCAAGCATGATTTCCCAACAATGAGCATGAAGGCCTGAAGCCTTGTGATTTTTGGGGCATCGACATAGCTCGCTGGCGACCGCACGAAGATAAACAGTTGGCACCCTGTCAAGGCAGGACAGATGCAAATGGAACTGGTCACGGTGAATCTTCTTCCACGATCTGCTCTTTCAACCTTTTGACGCAGTGGGAAGTCGACGTTAGGGCATCTGAGCAGCCGGCTCACCATCACTGGAGTCCTTCTCCTGCAGAAGCTCTGCCAGGAGGGGTGCCTGACAGGGGCCAAGAGGTGTGTCTGTTGCTCTAGCAACATCAAGTCGTGTCGCAGCACCGAAAGCATGCACGTCCGATCCCCTGTCCTCTGCCGACTTGCTCCTGCACACTTCTACTCGGAGCCACACCAGGGATGACATGCTGACAATGCTGCCCTGGCGATAGACAGAGCAGATTCACGTGTCCTGTTCAGCAGCCAACCGAAGCCTTTCTTCTCTTTCGCCTTGCTGCAAGGGAGGTGACTAATATTGACTAATCAAGCCGACTGGCTCAGTTATGCGTGATCTCTATGGGATGATGCGATGCCTCGGTTTTCTTTGAGTCAGAGGATGATGCAGACGCAGCAGCCTCCGAAGCGGATGTCTCGCTCTGAGACTCAGCTGGCGTGGGCTCGGCTTCGGCTGGGGGTGGTGGCGGGACTGCTGGCGGTGGCGGTGCTGCTGGCGGTTGAGTTTTGGCAGCTGGTGGGGGCGCAGCGGGTGGGATGGGTGCAGTTGTGGGTGGTGGCGCCGCCGCGGGTGTGGCAGGAGGAGGTGTAGACACTGGTGCAGGCGGTTTGGCTGCCGGCGCAGCCGTTTCCCCTTTCAGCTCCTTGACCGGCACATGTCTAAAAGTCATGCACTTCCATTCCAGGCTCCAGGGCTAGCGAGCACCGTCATCTCGGGCTCTAGCATCGGTTTGCGGAGTCGGAGGTGCCTGGTGACGAGCTGTCTGACTACAGCGGGACAAAGCCACCTAGACAGCAAGTGCAAGACGAAGGCAAGTTGGCAGGAATGCTACCGGAGTCGGGAGGCACCGTGTGGCATGCGTCGATCCGGCCTTTGTGGGCATCGGGGCGGTTGGCAGTTTTGGAGGCGCCGGAGGCCTCAGTCCGAGATGCAAAATCGGTGACAGAAGTCGCCATGAAAGACCCAGGGCTGTCACAACGGCGCTGCAGCCTTTGGCATGCTGCTGGATGGTGCGGCGGCTTTTGTAGGAGCGCCAGCACCTCTGCCCGAAATCTGCCAGAAATGTCAGCTGAAAGGCCACCATTCATCATCATTCTACACATGAGATGCAGGCCATGACGCAGTAATTGGGGCAGGAGCAGTCTTCGGGGTGCCGAGCCGGCTGCTTATGCTTCCGTAGGTTTTTATCTTTCTTCCGGACACCCCGGCAGCTAACTGGCATAAGTCAACACGAGGCAAACAAACATGTTCAACCCGAGGAGAACACTTCATGCCTCGCCAGGACGTTGCGAAGTATGCGGTGCATCGACTACTCCGCCAAGTGCCAGGCTCTTCTCCAACTGGAAATACATCTCTGCGACCGACCTTTGCTGCGCATTACTTCGTCTCAGCTGCAGAGACAGCCGAAAAGGGCTCCAAGCATCTTCGTTGTGGTTGACCGCTTCCGAAGCTTCTTCCATGCCCAGCGCGCTGCGAGGGCCAGCCCGGCCTGGTTCATGAGAGGCAACCAGACAAACTCTCCTCCTCCTCCTCCTCCTCCTCCTCCTCCTCCTCCTCTACATATACTATACCACGACGACGACGACGACGACGACGACGACGACGACTACTACTACTACTACTACTACTACTTCGACTACGACTACGACTACTGCGACTACTACTACTACTACTACTACTACTACTCCTACTGCTCCTGCTCCTGCTCCTGCTCCTGCTACTGCTACTACTTCTTCTTCTACTACTACTACCACCACCACCACTACTACTACTACTACTACTACTACTACTACTACTACTACTACTACTACTACTACTACTACTACTAACGCCAATACCTTTACCAACTCTGACGCTTCCTGACAGTATGTGGAGACGGAAAGAGTTTTGAGTTTTGAGGACGAGGCCAGAAAGGCAAGAGTGGCCCAAGTTGCCGGTCTCGCCCAAACTGGCGGAGGCGGCGGCGGTGCCTCGCCGGAAGAAGCTTCACCAACCAAGATGCGGTCTTTTTGCTGACGGGTACTTGCACGCTGGGGCATGTAGAGCGCTCGTTTGTCGGGAAGGTTGGGTGGCGCTCGAAGCTTTTGGATAAAATCGGGGTACCGGCTGTAATTGCAGGGTGTAGTCTTCCAGCGAAGGAGCCGCTCAGGAATCTTGAAAACAACTAGTGCAGGTTGAAGTGAAGGTCGCAATTGGCAATTTCTGGGTGCGGAGACAAGACAAGCAAGCGCACTCCAAACAGTTAAACAAAACCTTGAGGCGGGGTCATGCTGGGCGATGTCGGGTTGAAGATGTGAATGAGACAGCGTGCCTTGCTGAAAAAAGCGCGGCGTGCAATGCGGGGCTGAGGGGTCCTTGCCACAGTTTCACTCTCTTTTCCAATCTGACCCTGGCTCTGCTTGCACGAAGCTGCTTCATACGCATCTGGAAAAGAGCACTTCTGAGAGATCAGCAGCCGCAAGGGATGCACCTGAGCGCTGAATACCAGAGACCTTGCGAATCCTTCTGCGACGGGTCAGATAAGTACCACCTTGAATGTACTCTCGCGCATCTTGCGACCCCATCCAGACTCCGAAGAGCAACTTCCGCCCAGTCATGAACAGGTGGCACGACTCTGGAGCCTGTTGACTCGATAAGTCGGACGCAGACCGTGACAAGAAGTTTGAAAAGGCGGAGATGGGTGTATATCATCGGTGTAGTTCGTTCAAGATTTGTGCTTTCATCGCTTCGTTGCGCACACTTGGCTCGCTGTGAGTTCTGATTCCGTCGCCATGAAGGTTCTTGATCAGTAGACCCCGAGGAACGAGCTTGACCAGGGCTTCGTCGCAACGACGGGCAGCCCAGAGGTGTCACCTTTCGCTTTCTGTAACCACATGCTTCCGGCTGCATACTGCTGAGCGGAACAGCATCTAGACATGCTCATCGAGTCTCCAGCCTGCATCGCTTGTACGGGCGTCATCATCGCTGCAGTTGAGTGTTTTGGTACAGACAGTACACAACAGTGTTGTGGTGCTCTGCTGTACACTGCACATATTGTTCTGCGTTACCGAGATAAGCAGTACCATCACAAGACCAGAAGACCCTCCATGAAGTCGAAAGGCTTCTTGGGCTGCCAGGCAGTCGTGAAGATGGCTCTGGTTGCAAGGTAGAAGTGGCTATCCACTCGCCCCGGATTGCAACGCCCCTATGTACCTAACGTCACTCCGGCATTGAAATGGCCGTTGTATGCGGACAGTTTGCACATGCTAAGGGCAGGACAGCTCAATGTCCACAGATGCCGGTGCAACAAAGCTTGCTTGGCACTCGCTCAAAGTCAATTTTCCCGTCCACACCGCGTGTCGGAGGCCTTACGGGTCTGGCTGCAGCCAGAGTGTGCGCACCATGCCAGGGTAACTTACCCCGATGGCTAGTCGTCTGTGGCGCCCTGCACAGATACGAGTCGAAACAAGACTGATGACTTTTCACTTGCCTCCCTACCCTCAGCCCTCAGCACCGGACGTAACCGGGAGCAAACTCGGATGCTTTCGTGAAGCCCAAGGCACGCTCCTCCTCCAGCCTTGGGCGAATTCGACCCTGCTCTTACTGAGAGATTTGGCGCTTTGAGTACGTTTGCACACCTTGCGTCTTGCGTCGGCCGGAAGGTCTCAGTCCTGAACGTATCGCAGAATGCCCTGTCAGCAGCAGCCTGGTGAATAGGCAGAGCAGCACGACGTTTCAGGATGGGCGCACGAACTTGAACGTGAAGCTCACAACATTCGCCCCGGCCTGCTTTGCGACTTCTAGTTCTTCTTCATCATTGCGCTTGAACATGCACATCCAGCAGAAAGCTGCAAACAGGGCTCTCACTCGGAGTCTCTCGCACATGAGCCCTGTACCATGAGTAAGAGACTGTAGCGGCAAGCCATGCAGTCTATTGTGTTTCACCGACATCCCAAGGCCTGTGATAATCATGCAGAAGTCTATGATGCAAGCTGCAAAGAAGGTCCATCCGAACCTGTAGCGGTCCGAAAGGTGGGCTGGTTCATCTCTTTCTGCAGTTGTCTGAAAAGCAGCCCAGAAGCTGGAAGTCACGTGTCTCGCTGTACCTTTCACTTCAGAACGTGCACACGAACAAACCCGCGTCTAGTTATCGCAGTGAGATTCTGCTTCTGTCTGATATGATCCAAATTCCCGTTGGCAGGATGAGTCGTCCAAAAAGCCTTCGCTTCGGACGTGAACGGCTTCTCTGCACGGGCGCATCGATTGTGGAACTTACTTGTGCTAGTGATTGAAGCCACGCCCCATGTGTGCAAGGCAGCGTCGCTTCTATGAAAGCTCAGTGGAAAAGAGGCGATGAGGAAGGTGCTGGTGGCATATTGTCTCTTCTTGCGATTTCAAAGAGAAGCGCCCAGAGCGCCCTTCCGCGCGCCTTCGAGTTTCGGCCCTTGTCTCCCCTCCTGCGCCTCTAAAGGCAACACCGCTTTGGGCTCGCGGGGGGGGGGGGGGGGATTGGGCTCGGGGCCCTGGCCCTCCCCTTGCTGGGGTTGCGGAAGCTGTGAGCGTGCATTGCTCCCCTACGGCCACAACGACAAGACCATCTCCTCAGTGAGTGGTTGACTCGACTTGGAAAACCTTCATATAAATTACCGCTGAAAGTTGTGCACTGCATGCCGATGGCACGGCTCTTCCTCATCGACAAAATGCTTCCGAGAACCGCACGAAAGCCCCGGAGCGAGTTGCCCGACCTCGACAAAGCAGGACAACGATGCCCAAGGCTTCGCGGGAAGTGGATAGCACCGTTTCTGTCCCTCGTCGGGTCTGGATTCCTGAACCTCATCGGCCTATCTCAGTGCATGAGGGGCCATCCGCCACATGCCCCACGTCTGAACAGTTGCCAAAGCCGAGATTCATGCGTCATAATCTCTACTACTCACTGGTCTGGTAGCTGAGCACTGCACCGTCGCCGCCCAAGACTTGGTAAACACATGATGTGACTGTGTCAACACAACATGCCAACGCAAAGCCATCGTTCGTCAGGCATCTGATGCTTCCAATTCGTATTCGCTCTTGTAGAAACTTCTCAGCATTTCTAAGCGCGGCGCTGTTGGGATCTCTCCCAGATCTGGCATCAAGAGTGCCCAGGCGACAATGCCGCCTGTCCTCAGCCAGGAGGTTCTGTCAGCTACGGACTTTTTTCAACATTTCTGCGTTGCTTCTGGATACCCGGACAATTTCTGAGCAGATATCCCGAAGAAAATGGCCTGATGCGAGGCCGACGAGCACGACAGAACGGACGACGACGACGACGGCGACACCCATTCTTACAACTGCACCCGGTTGCATAGTCTTTCTGACACAAGTTTTGCTGCGATTGTTGAACACTCCCGCATTCGCGATCAGGCAGTTGTGGTGGTAACCGTTGCAGCCGCCGATGCAGTGGTGGTGCTGTGCAGCAGAATCACGATGATTCGGGTGCTGATGATGGTGCCAGTCGTGAAGGCTGAAGGCTTAGAAGCAATAATGTAGTCGTGAATGAAGCAAGATGATGGTGAGCTAACTTTCATTCTGTATCACTGTATCACTATTGTTATTCACAGCACGCCCTTCATTGCTGTTGGAATTCATCTGTATTGCCATCGCGATGTTGGTGAGGACGATGTTGCGGCCGATGGTGGTGCTGGTGGTGGTTACGGAAAATATGATGATAACGACGAATACGAGGAACCTACGAAGAAGCTGACAAGACGACGAGGACGATGATAATAATAGTCAGTGGCAATGATGAGGAAGCGCAGAAAGAGCGGGAGGAGGAGGACACTCCCGGCAACAAAAACCAAGCCATGGTTTCCCAAGCTGTAGGGCGCCCGGCGCAAATGCCGGACCCAAAAGGGTGAGTGTCCCCGTCCATGCACGGAGTGAGGAATCTGCCAGCGCTTTTGAGTAAGAGAACCTTGGACAAGCGCTTGGGTCCTCACCGTCCTAGTGGCATGGGGCGGGAACATCGGGCCGCATTCAATATGACGGAACCAGGCTGCGGACAAGCAGAATGCGGCGCCCAAGTTGGAGAGCACGGCCAAGGAGATCAACCCGAAGAGCGGGAAGCTGCGCAGCTGTTCAAGCTTTAATGCAAAAACAGCATGCTCAAAATGAAGGAAGCTCCTCGTGTGGCAGACAGTTCAGGAATCTATCGGCCAAGCAAGATGTGAAAGAAACTGATGCAGCGCGTAGGCTTACTCTTTGACAGATCTGAGGTCAGTCTCCGCACATGTACTTAACGATTCCGGATTCCACACGCGGTGCTAAGGCACGATCGGGGCGCCTTGCCATGTATGTCCGTGACATCACGTCGCAGGCCGATGGGTTCAGCACACAGGCATTGCCCTGTCCAAGTCCAGATTGGAGCACGAAATGAGGTCGTTCTGAAGGTTGAAATGCTGAATGCAAGACTGGGGTCATGAGCTCCTGACTCAGACTTAGGAATACTTCGTGGCTTGAGGTGACAATCACATGAAGTTGAGGAGGACCTGCTCTTAGTAATATCTTTCCTGAGACAGGCTCTGCGAGTAGCAGCAGTAATGGTAGTAGCAGCAGCAGTAGCAGTAGTAAGGAGGAGGAGTAGAAGTAGTAGTAGAAGAAGTATCAGCAAGGGTGAAAGAAGAGAATAGTCTTTGGCCTTTCTTCGCAGTTTGTCTCGATGGCCCCGGTGGCTTTCATCACTCTCTTGCTTTGCGACTGTCGAAGGCTGCAATGAACCTGGCAACGTGCCCTGCCTGGGACGTCTGAAGGTCAAAGACGCCGTCCCACTTCATGATTTTCTGGCATGCAGGGCAGACTGCGAGATGGGTCTACGTTGTCTACATGGCAAAGAAAAAACTGGCACGAAGTGAGCACCCAGTGACATAAACGCGAAGCATGCGGATGCACCCGGCAGGCTACTCTCTCCAAGACGAAGGACTTGTCGCAGGAGACGTCAATCTGCCAGTCCGGTCGCAGAGGGTGCGGGTGTTCGGCAGTCTCAGCCATTTTTCGGGAAACGCCCGCTAGACTAGACTAGACTACTGCTGCTGCACTTCGGAATCGGAATCGGGCGCCTCGATCTTGAAGAGCGATGTTTTCATGCTCACCAGGCCGATACCTGATCCCGCGAGTACAAACGGAATGGAAGGGCAGCGAAGAGCTCGGAAGAGAGAGAGAGAGAGAGAGACAAACAGAGACGGAGAGAGGCGGAGAGAGAGAGAGAGAGAGAGAGAGAGAGAGCGAGATGGCAGCAGCAGTTGAACAAAACGGACTCCCGAAATGTTTCATGGTTCTTCCGAGGACACTTTGATCTCATCTGAACTTGGGGGCAGGCCCAAGCCGGTGAATTCCTTGACACCTTGAGGCAACACAGTGCCAGGTGTCGGATAGCCAGTCCGGGAATGCTCTGTCCATGTGCTACTACAAGCCGATGCTTCCCCGGGCGACTGGCCCCACGATGGTCCGACCATGGTGAGACCCTAGGCAACACTGCAAGCTACTTCGCATCTTCCCGAACAGCCCTTTCATTTCTCGGGCATCCTCCAGCCGAGGACCAAGCAAGCAGGATACCGAGGCCAATCAAAGCGGCGGACCTGTTCTGGACTGTCTCACGGTCTCATGATGCCACAGCGACAACACATTGACATGGCCCACAAGCGGTACTGGCCAAGAAGCATGAACATCAAGAAATTCTCCTTATCCGACTTGGCCTGCTTCCTTAGCAAGATCCCAGAGCCCAGCCAGGTAAAAACCAGTAAAAAATGCACCAGATAATCTTAAAGCACCATGCTTGCGTAGGCTGATTTCTACGAGTTAAGTACAACATATCAAGGCCGAGAAACGTCTGAGCCTCGCGGACCCTCTCAAGGCGCTGACCTGAGGCAGCTAAGCCCTGGCGTCGATTTAAACAGACAAGCAGGCAAGCATTGCACGGATCTTTGCTTGACATTTCGGAAAGCCCGAGTCCGCAGCGCTTCTCTTGTTCCTTCTGCAACTTCTTTTGTTGCTTGGCATACTGTGGATCTTGTGCCACGGCCTGCATGCAACGTAACTATCGTTCACCTCAAGAAGTTAATCAACATCTCACCCCAGAATGTAGCTAGAACCCCATCCGAACCGACAAGAGTCCTTTACTGATCGCAGAATAGCTTCCTGGTATTACTCGCATACGATGTGGGTGGAGAAACACGGCTCCTACCGCGAGAAGGGGCACCCACATCTTTGCGTGGCGGGGGTTGGCGGGGTTTGTCTCAAGATGAAACGGCACTGACTAGGCTAAGTTGGTCGAGCTTCATTGATTCATCAGGTCGGGTATTGCTAACAATTGCCTCTCTGGATTTCTGAAGCACTGTTAGGAGTGAATTGCGGGAAGAGCAGGCCTGGCCGCCATATCCTTGCCTCGTTGCAGAGTGGATGCCGCACACCATGTGACAGAAGGCGACCGATCCGTTCCGTGCCCGCATCAGCAGAAGGAAGGACCCATTCGATTTCAGCGCTGCTCTGAGGTTTGGGCGCTGCATATGACATCGCGGCCTGCTGGTCGCCATATCCTTGCCTCAATGCAGAATGGATGCTATCCATCTTGGCAGGGAAGGCCACTGATGTGTTGTGTGCCTGTGCGACCAGAAGGAGCTCTTCGATTTCAGCACTGCTCTAAGGTTCGGGCGCTGCATATGACATCGCGGCCTGCTGGTCACCGTATCCTTGCCTCAATGCACGGAGCGGATGCCATACATCAGATGCGGGAGGGCGACTGATCCGTCCCTCGCACACGAAAAAGCTAAGCAGAAGGAGCCATGTGATTTCAGCCTAACTCCAAGATGCAGGCGCTGCATATGGCATGGCTGCCGGCTGGTATCCTTGCTGCCTGGGCCGCTAAAATACGGGACAAGGCATGCGTTGTGAAAGCCAGCGGTTTTCTCCCCAAGCACAGGATAAGGACCCGAGCAGAAGTGGCTGCTGGAAAGCTTGCCTCAACTCGGAGACTGCAGTGACGCTCCGACCAACCTCTCTCTCGCGTCTGTCTGGGGCTTATGCTGTGCCATTGGGTCTGCGTAGGGGGCAGCCATGTTGAAGAGAATTGCTGAAAGCAAAGCGGCAAGACCTGGTCAGAACACACGCCTGTGCTCAGCCTATTCTGACTCCTGTATCCATCATAGTGCTCTCGGCAGCTAAGTGAGCACAGGTGGGCAGGAAGACTTGCCTGAAGTAGAACGTGTGAACCGCAGGCTCACAATACAGATGGAATGGCTGAGATCCACCCGGCAGCGGCAAGCACATGTCACAGGCACTTCAGCCTAAGCTTTGCGCGCAGCACGATCGCTCTTTCTTCAACCCACTATACACATGTAGAAGTACAAAATGCAGTATTCCGAAGTACCTGTTTGTATCATATGTTCGGATTGTGGTTTAGCAAGCATCAAACTGCACCCCAACCCCCGAGAAATGCGAAATTCAGCCGAGCATTGAACTAGTCGGACTCTCGTCGGCGCGTGTGCTTTCTTGCTGGAGGTCCGCGCGGAACAATCAGTGCTAACGATTGGACCAGCGAGTTTGCTAGCGAAATGTATCAAAGAGGCGGGTTGGACTCTACCTCAACTCATCGGTGGGGCTGGTCGAGTTTCAACGTGTGTGTGTGTGTGTTTGCATTTGTACATATTTTCAATCGTATATGTGTGTATTTGTGTATGTCGCATACATACATGCATGCATGAGGGTATGCATCTTCAGCAGCGAATCAACGGGACGCACATATGCATAGTGTGTAGTGTCTGCGTACGTGTCGCAGTGCTTTTCGTTTATGTACGTATAAACTTTTGTCTGTCTGCCTGCCTGTGTGTATGTTATTGAAACTTATGTATGTATATGTTTTGGTATATGTGTATGTGCATGTACGTAGCTATGCAATTAATTAGGCTTGTGCGTACGTGTGTGCATGCGTGCAAGGTGGCACAACTTGCACAAACATGTGTGTCCACGGCCATGCATTCTGTCCATAATATGCACAACGTGTACATGACATGCTTGTGCCTGTATGAGGTCACAGTGTCTCTGACAGTTGCTTTCTTGAGTGGTGCATGTGTGTCAGCGTCTGTGGGTGTGTGTCTATGTTTTTGAAGCAGCAGCTCGATACAGGTTTTAGATCAGGTGCGGACATATGTCTAGTCCGCGACATGACACATTTTGGAGTTGCCAAGAGGTGGCGCCTTTTGAAGCAGTGTGTTGGTGTCCGTGCCAAGAGGTGGGGGCTTTTGAAGCAGAGTCCCGCTATCCGGGTTGTGATTTCGTGCAGCGTTTCCAGAAGAATAGAGTCCACTCCATCCCAGGAGATGCTTCATGAGCGTCTCGCAATTTCACCACTGGTGCACTTAACGAAGTAGACTGGGGCAGATATTAGCGGAAAAGGCTCTCAAAAGGTCGACCGGAGAACGGCAGCATTCCAGACCCGGACAACTCCTGGGGCGGCGCTTTTCTGCGGAAAGCGCACACTCGTCAACCTCCGCTTTGCGGCTCTTCGGATGCGCCAGAATCAGCTGGTGCCGCTACCTCGTGTGTCGACTCCGCTGGGTGAGCCATCGGCACCTCCGCCGGGTGGGCAGCATGTGCCTCTGCCGGATGTGCTGCTTGAGCAGCAAGAGGATTCTGGGATTCTGCTGGGTGCGCTGCTTGTGGGGCTTCTGCTGGATGGGCCGCTGGCTGTGGCTGTGCAGGTGGCTGTGACATACCTTCGGCAGGGTGTGCTGCTGTCACGACCTCATGTGATGACACAGGCACATTCATCAAATCCAATGTCGCCGTTGCATGCTCCACTGCAGTCTTGCCATGCACTTGCTGCACCACGAGTCGACATCTGAAAAACCCTCATAAGGCCACATCACATGAGCAGGTTGGCGAGAGTGAGGGATTACACACAAGAGGCGATGTATCCATTCCAGCGACACTTCTGGGAAGTCAAACTCGGAACAACGAGTCGCTCCAAGAGCAAGCACGACCTGTCTTTGCGATCTACGAGCCACCAATGCTTAAACTCTTGTGCTTTATCATGCTCAAAGAGGAACGATCCGGTGAAAAAAAACATCTTCCCTTTTGCCCAGATAGCAGTATTCGAAAGACAAGGCTGCAACATGCTCAAGCAGCCCGAATCAACTGAGACCTCGACGGCAGCTGCTTGGGCTGGATGAGCAATGGGTAAGTGCATATGCTGCTGTTGCATGGGAGGACCCGTGAGGAGAGGTGGGGTTGGATTTGGAAGATGCGGAGCCGCGGGAGCCGAAGGGCCTGGAGCCTCTGCGGGATGTGCGATGGCAGGAGGTAAGGTTTCTGCAGGGTGGGCCGGTTGCGCCGGTTGCGGCCCAGGCAATCCGCCAGAACTCCCCGCGGAGGTTACCGCTTGTGCAGCCGGTGCTTCCTCGCTTTGGATGTCTCGGGCTTGGCTCGCCCATTGCGCCGCCGCGGAAGGCCGCGCGCTCGCCCAGGGCCTCGCAGCCGTTACCGCTTGCGCAGGCGCTTGTGCCACCGCCGGCGCCACAGGCGGTGAGGCTGACGTTCCGGCAGCAGCAGCGGCACCTGCCGCGGCGGCGGAAGGCGCCGGAGCCTCTCCTTGCGAGGCCACTGCACCTCGCGGCTCCTCGGCCCCTGGCACCGCATTCGTCGCTCTGGAAGCCCAGGTCTGGTCCAAGTTCCTTTGGGCGTCTTGGACGAGTTCCAAGGTGCGTTGGGCATCCTCCGTGTTCGATTCCGCCTGCTGGTCACCAAACACGAAGTTGGGATGCTGAAAACTAAAGCCTGCCAGTTGGAGCAGCTTTGCCGCAGCACTGTTGTTCCGGAAGATCTCGCTGAATCGAGAGCTGGAAGTGTTCACTTTCCGGTTCTTCTCAGAGCTGGGATCTTTCAGCAAGTTCAGGAGGACCATCGCAAGAGTGCTGAGTGACTTGGCAGCCTCCGCCTTGCTGTTGCTTTCCTGAGGAGATGCAGAGAACGGCACGCAAGGCACGCAGAATTTTAGGGGGGGAACCTCCCGGCGAGTCAGCCAGGGTGCTGCCACCAGCTGCTGCAAACAGCCATTCGTGGCATCAAAGAAGTCGCGAACGGAGCGTGGCTGACGAGGTGCCGGTGATGCCGGGCCTGTGGCGACTGCAAGAAACAGCAACCAGCAAGCCTGAGTTAGTTTCTGGACCTGACGGGCTCGAACACTTGGTCGCCAATGCAGGTGCACTTGCGACAGCGTGCAGTGACCTGACAACACAGTGACTGTCGAAGGCTCGGAGATGAACGCGAGGTTGGTCTGAGGCTCATGCTTGTTGCTCGTCCCGTCGGACCTTGTCTGAAAATGGCTTGGGTTCGGTGTGCCATCATGGCTCTCGCCAGCATGGAGATCCACTGCCAGCTTCGATGACAAGGGTGATGCGCAGCTTTTTTGTCAAGCATGCCGTTCTCTCAGGCTGCTGGTAGCTGTTCTCCGCAATCACATGCCGCCTAACACAGTCTTTGCACGAATCAAGCTTTCCTTAGTGGTCAAGATTCGATCATTTTTGACCGCCTCTGGGCTCCCTGACGGCAGAGCACCAAAGCAACCAAGCAGCCTTCTCTTCAGTGCGCGCTTGTGCACGCAAGTCGAAATTCTTCAAGAGCCAGTCACACTCCTGGCGACTGAAACTGCACTTGCAGAAGAATTTCCCGACAGCTCATCTGCAGAGTACAGTGTCCGCATTTCAGCTCTCAACTTGTCTCTCTCTCTCGAGACATGTCTGACGGCCGAGGGTTTAACGACTAAGAGATGTCCCGATATCCCAAAGACATTTCAAAGGGTCCTGGTGCAAGTCAGCTGTGTACTGCTGTGTGGCGGCCAACTGCTTCTTCTTGCCATCCACGTCTTTCCTCATGCTTGCAACAACACCGAAGTCTTTGCTGTGCGTGTGCACGCACGAATTGGGCGCGTCTGAGCAGGTAAGAGCATATCGATTGCAATCATTCTGGGCAGTTGCTTCGGAGTCTGAATTTCTGGACACATCACGGCATGGTAGCGCCACGCATTGCTACTGCTTCTACAAGTAATTAACATTAAGATGTTGGTATCTTTCATGTCCACTGAGCAAAGTAACATACTACGGCGAGACTGGATGAACGCTCCACAGAGGTCCTCCTGAAACCGTTTCTGAGGCGTGGCAGTTGTTGCATGAAAGCCATGATGGGGCAGGCAGGCCTCTTCAAAAAGTTCGACAAGGACTCTCAACAAGAAGCCGATGAAGATGATGCAAGGGAGCCTCGCTTAGGGGGGAACCCAGCTACATCCTCCAGCGGCGAGGTCACCGCTGAATCTAATCATATCTCTCAGAGCCCAGGGGGACCCGTGCATGTATGCTCTGGAGACCGGTGCTGGCTGTCCTGATGGAATGGACATCGCCCCTCGTGCTTTAGGGCCGGAAGGCTCTTCGAGTAAAGCGCGTGCGAGATGTGTCAACGCATGTTCCTGCAAGTGTCTTCGTCTGGAATTTAAAGCTGTCTTTGCAGACATGTCTTCGAAACATCCTTCTGAAGCCCCGTCAAGGACTCATGTATAATCAACGGTAGCACATCGGCACAGCTAAATTTCCTGCGTAACCCCAATTTCGCTTGTCTGGGATGGGCTTTGGCAGCCCTGAAAATTATTTATGGATCCGGGCTGTTTTTGTGCATCCATGTGAATGCAACACCAAGCAGCAATCACTCACTCTTTTTCTCCCGCGATCATGTGGAATGTGAACAGTGGTAACAAGAAAAATGCGACACTGACACTGGCAGCTCAGACGATGGTGGCCTGCAGGAGCAGGCAGAAACCAAAATCTGGCGTGACACTCTGACAATGGAAGCATTTGACACTCATTCTGTGTGGCCAGTACAATAACACACCCAATGCGCACCCCTCCATGCCTGCTCAAAGTTGACACTGATTTCCAGCTGGTAGGCCTGACATAATAGAAACACGTGACACTCATTCTGTGTGGCCAGTACAATAACTCACCCAAGACGCACCCCTCCATGCCTGCTCCAAGTTGACACTGATCTCCAAGACGAAGGCCTGCCATAGTGG